TGGCACCTTCCCAGTTGGATGAGAAGACTCCTGGAGAGTGTGTCCTCCTCTCAGATTCCTTAACTTTTTTTTTTTTAATATGAAGATTCTGGGGATGGAGCCCCAGACCTCGTGTATGCTGAGCACACACACTACCACGGAACTATACCCACCCGCCTCTCAGATTCCTTCTTAAATGACCCCGAGTTAACCAGCTGAGGTGTATGGACGGTGCTCCTTTCTCTAAGGAGCTCATGTTTTTGACTAGCTTTTTAAGATTACCTCCTAAGAATCTAAAATGTTACATTTTATTGTTGAGCATATTGTTTTTTTTCCCCACAAAATGCTTTGTAACTTTTAAAGCTTTCTGCAGAGTTAAAGAGTGACTCCCTTCGCCTTCATATGAGCATAAAGAAGGAAAAAAAATGTATTTTCATCTACTTAGAAATAGACGCTGGTTAGCACATGACATTTTTTTTCCCCTCATGTGAATTTAGCCGGAGAATAAAATACACATCGAGGGCCCATGAAGAGCTAGTGTAATACATTCTAATTTAAATCTATAACTGGTTTCTAATCATCTCGATGCTGTATTTTTGTTTTCTAAGCTATTTCGTAGGCAGTGGCATTATCTAATTTCTATTCGAACTTAATTCTAGTCACTCATGATTATTCATGCTTCAGTTTTATAATGGCAGGCCATTGTTTTTACTTCAAGCAAAAAACAGTTGTTCTCCAGCAGAAAAATACCAAGATGACTGTAATTCAGTGCATATTAGGGAGAGGAGTTTGTTTTCCATGATTACGCTGACTAAATCTAATCTTACTAGATACATTTCATCAGAGTTGTGGTCAAAATCATATTTGGTCATTTGGTAGGGCCTCTATGTTGATTACGTACTAATGACCAGAAATGACATTTATCAGGATTAGTGTGGCACTGTGGAATATTCTGATTTCTTAGGTCATTATTTGTGTGTTCCTGCAAGATTCCTTTCCATTCTGTGCTTTGTGGCTTCATTCTCTGAAGTCCTAGGGGGTTCACGGAAGCCAAGAAGGCGGTGGACTCGCTCCCTTTGTGGAGAGGCTGGCTGTTCTGGCTGGGTTGCAGCTCTTGCCGGGAAAAGGAAATGCTTTGAACTCCGATGAACTGTGGCTGTAACCCTCCCGTGTTACCTGCCCTGCATTTCATTGTCAGACGAATAGACTCCTTCCCATCTGTCAGCACTGCTTTCCTGCTGAAATTAACAAAAACTATCATTGTCAGAATCCTGCCCTACATGGATGTGATAATGTAATCGGTGCTGAAATCAGTGTGTAGGAATGAACGATGGTTAAGATAATGAGGTATCAGGTGTCTATAGTTTTAGAAGTTCTCAGAGCCACTGTGACGTTTTGGGGGCCCTTGAAGACCACCTTCTCTTTCATTTCAGCCTGCAAATATCCTCTTGGATGAACACGGACACGTCAGGATATCAGACCTCGGTCTTGCCTGTGATTTTTCCAAAAAGAAGCCACACGCGAGTGTGTGAGTAGCACGTGGACACCGTTCACTGTCGTGTCCCTAACATGACTGATTGACTCACTCACATCCGGACCTGGTCATCTTTCTCTTTTCACTATGTGATAATCCCAGGTCGGAGAAGGTTCCATGTCCCGGGCGGTGGGAGAGGAGAGGGAGGGGCAGTATGCTCACTCTCACTGTTTTGGGGAGCATGCCCAGATCCACGATGTAGCTGCCCAGGACCAGGGCGGTCTAGGGGCAAGACAGGGGCCTCAGCAGCAGACCCGATCCCACGTGACCCTCAGCCCCTTCATCTATAAGTTGAGGTCAGAAGAAATCCCTGAAAGTTGTCATTAGGATAAATGACAGCTTCTGTGCCAAAGAAGGTGCGGAGGCAGCTGTATAGAACTCTCCAAGGGAGGCCCAGAGGTCACTGCCTCTCTGCATGTACTTTACTTTTTCAAAGCAGCTTTTTTACCCCTAAAGAGAAATTAGGAAATTTTTTTTAATTAAAAAAACGAATCATCTACTGGCAGTTCAGGCTTTTAATGCAGGTCACGTTGTTAGATTTGATCATTAAGTCCATCCTGGAAACCAGCGTGCAGGGGCAGGCCCCAGACACCACCGCCCTCGGCCAACTCCTGCCCTCTCAGTGGACCCTGAGTCGCTCGGGGCAACTTCGGCCAAGATGGATCAGCACATGTGGACACTGGCCCAAGGACTTCCCTGGACCTGGGATGGTGCAAATGACAGCAGGAACGTGGAGTGGCTGCTCTGGGGCTCAGCAGAGGCAGGACGGAATACACACTGGTTTTCATTCCTATCTCTTTGGTATCAGCTTATCTGGGTGGGAAGTCTGGACATGTGTGTAGTTTGTGGAAAAATGGATAGCTTTCACTTGATTTTCTTTCTTTTTTTTTAATTTTTCAATGTATCAGTCTTAGCACTGAATCTTTTAAAATTCCATTTTATCGTGCATCTTAAGCCGACATTCATCCCTGTGTTGAGTGGTCTTGAAGTAACTCCCAGGAGTCTCTTCATGCTTCCGTGCGGAAGATAAACTAAACCACCCCCCCTTTTTTTTGTGGGACTAGAAATAAAGTGTTCTACACTGCAGGACTTTATGAGAGCTGGCGTTAAATCAGAATTGCCATTTAAAGCTCCGATCAGATTTTAGTAGTGAATAGCACTGTTTCTCCAGAATCTGGGAGGTGGTGATAAAAGCCTTAGCATTTTGCCAGCACTTGACAATTATGAGGCCAGAACCTATGGTTGTGTAAGCTTCTCCCAGGGAGTTCATCAGACATTTTTAAGAGAGTCATTTGAATTTTTAATGCCACAGCTATTTGGTATGCTAATTTCTTCAATTTAGCGTAGTCACAACTGAATATGAATCCGAAAGCTCCTAAGAGTGACTCCCGAAGGAATTAACTTTCAGACGTGGGGTTACTTACTCCCTTATAGGACCTCGCCCACTTCTTGCTGTAATTCACCTGTCAGCTCTCAAAGATGGGCTGTTTGTCCGTATCTGAGCAGAATCTGTAAATGGGTAGGATTGGGGAGGTTGGTTTCCATGTTTAAATGGTGATCGCAAGGCCACTACTTGAAAAGGATAGAATGCACAATGAAATTCCATATTTTTAAGGAGAGGAGGCATGTCGTGGCTGAGAAAAAAGGCTTCCAAGTCAGCAGATGTGGCTTGGAATCCTCCTTCCCAGCAGGGACAGCCTCATTTTCCTCCCCTACAAAAAAGAGATAACAACACTGTTTATTCACGTGACAGTCAGCTCATTCACTCACATGTTAAGTATTTACTTAACGTTGGCTCTGTGCCAGGTGCTGGCAATGCCGCGGTGACTGGGGCAGAAAGGCTCCCTGACCTCCTGGAACCAGCAGCCAGGGGACTGTCCAGAAGTGACCCCGTGATGGGTGGGGGCTGTGCTGGCACCCCGGCACTTGTGTTATTAATTGAACATCAGTTGTCCCAGACACGTGTGGCTGACTACTTTGAATATGTTGTTATCGTCACAGAAACCCCATGGGGTGTGGGTATAACTGTCTACTTTTCATGGGACGGAAACAGGTTCAGAGAAACTAACTTGAATCAGGTCACGTGCCTGGCACATTGTGGGTCTAGAATTAAAACCCAATTCTGTCCAACTCCAAAGCTTGTACACCTTACGCTATGTATGAACTCCCTGAGACTTTGAGGTGATTGACTTCGTACTAGGTTGAAGTTTTGTGGCCAGAATTTCACCCTAGAGTGGGTGTCTAGGGTCTTTTCAAAACTGCAGATGTGATCCTAGGACTTGGTCTAACGCCAGCTCATCCACAGAGCATGGCGGTTGGTTCCTGATCCCTGCTTGGACTCAGTGCCTTTAAGGATGTGGTCAAATTCTCGTAAACTGAAAGTTAACCGTGGAGCAGCCACAAAATGTCGCAGAAGAGCTTTGATTTTGGAACTGAACAAATCATCCATGATTGATTGTGTACCAGCTTATTTTATCCAGGGACACAGAGCCAAGGCTTCGGTCACAGTGTCTTCAAACGGTCAAGTGCTCTTTTTGTATGACTGGTACTGATCTTCAGTGGGAAGCGCCAGGAGACACTCGAGCTGCCGTGAAGGCAGAAGCAGGAACCCGCGGTGGCGGGCTGTCCAGTTTTCTGCTTTTATGTGTCCGATGGTGTCCAGTGTCAGCTGAGACCGCCAAGGTGCATGAACCCTGCGTATTTATCCTCATCGAGATCTTCCCATTCCAGGATTAGGTTTTGATTCTGAGAATCGCAGGTTCACAAGATCACCACAAAGGTTTTCTGGCAACAATGAAATTAAGCCTTCCGGGGAAAAGGCTTGGATGCCCCTCCCGGAAGTCTCTGTCGCACCCACGGCGTGGCTAGCTGACCTCACACTGTCAAACTTTGGATTCCACATGGCAGAGCTTCTCCGATTGATGGACCAGAGCCCATTTCACTGTTTGAGAAAAGTCTTTGAAAACAGAGGGGCAGAGGCAGAGAGGGGCCTGGGCCCAGTGCAGATCCAGGGTCATTAACAATCCAGGATTACTTTCCTGAGCAGGTGCTCACTGCTTCAGGGCATAAGTCAGTTTCAAATGATTATAATAACGTACGGATAGAGAATAAAATCCCTAACACAGAGTGAGTTCTTTAAGTGTCAGCGCTGTCCTAAGCCCGTTACCTGTGTGTGCTCCTCACAGCAGCCCTGTGGGATCAGGTGTTATTTTATCACCCATCCTATCAGGGAAGAAAATCAATGAAGGGAGGGAACACTGGAGGTGCAGGTAATGGCTTTTGTGGGGCCCTTCCAGGCTGCGTCTTTGAAATTTCCCCATGAGCCCTCTCTTGCTCTTGGAACAGCGTGTGCTCAGATCTTTAAGGAGGAATGGGGAGTCGTAGAAAGGAAAAGGATTTTGAGTTACAGATGTTCTGTATCAACGACTGTCCTCCCCAGTGCTTTTTCTCTGCTTCCTGGAAGCCATGTTCACATCTGCTTTGCTGCATCCTTTGATCCGTCAGCAGCTCTTCAAACCTGACACGTGGTTTCTCCATCTCTGTCCCTGTTGGCTTGTGCCCCTACTGCTCCTCCACCCCCTTGGGGACCGTCCAGGTGGAAGGGTGGGCGCTACTGAGGAAGCATGTGTAAGCCCCGGTCCTGGTCACGGGGGCGGGGGGTGGCCCCGCGCAGGAGGGTCTGTTCCCATCCCTTCCAGGTCTCAGCGTTACAGCGTAGTCGCCTGTTTGTCACCCCCTTCCCCCTGCCTTCCCCACCCTACACAGCTCCCCACGAGAGCTCTCCAAAGGGCAGGGGACCTTTGACTCTTCTAGCAGTAGTGGGAAGGGACTGACCAGATTCAGATTTCATCTACAAGACCGTGAAGTGCGCATCCTCCATGTTTGTTTCATATGGTAATTTATCCCTATCCATTCCTCTTCTAATGAAGACAAGAAAGGTGGTTTTCCCATCGGGTGTTTGCTGAATCGGGTTGGAAGCACCATGGACCCCTCGCCCTTGTTTACAGTGGCTGCCATTTAATGAATGGCGCCCTGACCTCTCCACGAGCTGGATGTTTGACAAGGTGGGCACACCCTGATAACTGCATGTACTCTCTCTTCTCCCCAGTGGCACCCATGGGTACATGGCTCCTGAGGTTCTGCAGAAGGGAACTGCCTACGACAGCAGCGCTGACTGGTTCTCCCTGGGTTGTATGCTTTTCAAACTGCTGAGAGGGTGAGTGACATGCATCCTTTTAGGAGCATCACCGTGGCGCGTACTTAAATCCAGATCAAAAGCATGTGTATGTCATTAGGCGCTAAGACCGTTTTAGATCACACAGCCGTCTGTAAACCACACAATGATCCAGGCGATTCCCCTGGCTCTTTCTGCCCGTAAAAGTGAATTTTCTTTCCCATAAGCTTTATTATTTTTGTTCCATCCCAGGAAGAAATTCCAACACATTTAGACCTAAACTAAGACTGTGTTGAAATATTTCCATTGATAAGCCTTATTTTAGGACTCTGTGTTTTTTCAGAATATGAATAATGGAAGAAGGTAGGAGAATTCTTTTTCCCTGGAAATGAATTCCTCATGATTGTCTTGTGAGCCTAAAACATTTTTTTTAGACAAAAGGATAAAGGCCCAAAGTGAACCTGTGTTAAATGTGTGTGTTTGTTTGCAAGCATGGTGCAATTTGTGTTTTTTAAAAACACAGAAATGAAATTCTGTGTTTTTAGTTTAGTGTTCTCCTTGACCCTTAGTTCCAAACTGCCAGGGATCGTGAAATACAGCAGGAAGATGATGGAATGCAAGTGCTCTCAAAATAGGTTCTCACAGTGAACATTTAAAAGTTACATTAATACTTGCATTGATTTCCAGAGTCTTTAGCCAATTTTAATAGTGAGCTTAAGTGTTTAAAGTATGTTTTTGATTATTCTCCATCCACAGGTACAGAATTGCTTTATGTTTAAGCTTCCTAGTCGAGACTCTCCTTATGATGTTTCTCCTATGATCACACAGGCCTGGTAGTTTCGCTAAATGTTTCACGTTTCCCTCAGAAAGCCTGGTTGAGCATCACTGCATCACCTTACTATGTTTAGCACATTCTGAAAAGAGGCTGTATTCCCTGTCTTCCCCCTGAACTAGGTTCCAAGCACCCTTGCTGCTTCCCCAGGACTCAGATAATCGAGTTGTTCTCTGCTCACCAATTCACTCGGGAACGAAAATTGTATTATTGCTTAGAGAGTCAGGTCCTGTTGGTCCTTAATTGAATTATTGTATTTGTGGGGCCTGGATGGCTTTAATTCATGTCATCAGACTAGCTGACCTAATTAGAACGTCTCTGCAAAGCAGACCAGAGAAAACCACTTCCCACACGAGACCTTTCTCCTGCTGGCCGGGGGAGTCACTGCACGCATAGCGAGTGCATCCAGACACGCCGTCTCAGTTTGGGTCTCTGCTGGAGGTGGGATTGGGCGTTAGAATCCACAATTACAGAATCCCCAGATGATAAAAGAGAAGAAAAGGTGAAAAAAACCCCTCTGTGTAACAGCAAAACTGTTGAATGCATTAACTCGATATCCAAAAGTCAGGAAAATTAGCAGGGAAACATGCAAAGCCTTGCACTTAGGCCTTTGTTTGTTTCTTGATTTTGTTTAATACAGTTATTCTGTCTGTTTGTAACAGTGTCTTGTGTATAGCCTGGGAGTGATCTGACATATAATACTGTTTTTTAAAAGATCTGAAAATCAGTTTAATTATTAACTCTATGCCAGTGGTGTGATGTGTGGCTAATAAAGCGAAGTCAGTCTTACGTGGTCATGGCTCAAGCTGGGAGTACTGCACCGGAAGTTAATTCCTTTGTGACGTCCTTGATCAGGCTTGGTCAAAGCTTTTTGTGTGATGTGACCCCGGTTGGGCTGATAGGAAGGCATCCAGAGGATGGTCATGAGAATGGGATGGGATGGAGGGAAAAGAGGAGATGAGACTGGTGACAGCTAGAAATCATGGCTTGCGCTCAGGTCGAAAGAGTTGGTGATCGTGCTTCGAGCAGCCATGGTATTGGGTCCAGCTCTTGGAAGGCCCATCTCATGGAAGGGGCTGTTCTCACCGGGATAGCTCCAGACAGGTAGGCATCTTCAGGAGGGAAAAGATCTGAGTCTGATGCAGTGTTCGAGCCACCCTGTGAAGGAGTGTTCTGTCTCTCAGATAGCCAGCTCCCTGTCACCGCCTGGCGACTGTCTCTTGAGCCTGAAATAGAAAGACCCCTTCCAGCCTTGCCTAAAACAGATGAGATGAGATGACTCTTCCCCACTGACATGTTTGATCTTCTGCCGCTCTTTCTAACACTCCCTCAAAAGACAGTCACAGGAGAGGAGATAGCACTAAAACCGAAGAGCAGGGGAATATTTTTTGACATAAGTGATTTTTAAAAATAGTTTTTTTTGTTGAAGTATAGTCAGTTTACAATGTTGTGCCAATTTCTGGTGTATAGCAGTAATAGTTCAGTCATACATATATATACATATTTTTGTTTTCATATGCTTTTTCATTATAGGTTACTACAAGATAGTGAATATAGTTCCCTGTGCCATACAGTATACACTTGTTGTTTATATTTTTTATATATAGTAGTTAGTATCTACAAATCTT